TGGCAAGAGGGCATGATAATTGTTTCTTTCTTGCAACATGCTGACCATCTCCCACTGAGGCAGGGTGACCGAAAAAAGAAACACTTTCACCATCATTCACACATAATCAGTGTCTTTGCAGAGGGATGCAGATAAAACAGTTCAGATGTCACTCCAAACAACCAATATCCCAAACCCCACTTTTAAAGTGCTGGCATTGTACTTCCCACCTCCAGGACTCAAGTCCAGCTAACAGGTTACCCTGAATCCTTTCACAAAATATTACCCTGCTCATACTGCAAAAGCTATTCATCTCCATTTACACATGCCTGCTGTATGTCCAAGCCCCTTGCACATAAAACCTCTTTTACCCTCTCCCTCCATCCTTTCCTAGGATGACCCCTACCCCTCCTCCCTTCCACACAGATTTATACACCCTCCAAGTCATTCTGTTTTGCTCCTTCCTCATTAAATGACCAAACCACCTCAACAACCCCTTCCTCAGCCCTCTGAATAATACTTTTAGTAATTTCATACCTCCTCCTAATTTCCACACTACAAATTTTGTGCATAATATTTGCATAATAGTAGGTTGGTAGACAGCAACCACCCAGGGAAGTACTACCGTCCTGCCAGATGACTGTGAAACAGAAACCTGTAACTGTTTTGCATGATGGTAGGACTGCTGGTTTCTTTTTTCTGTCTCATAAACACGCTAGATAACAGGGATATCTTGCTACTCCTACTTACACTTTGGTCACACTTCACAGACACACACATGCATATATATATACATACATCTAGGTTTTTCTCCTTTTTCTAAATAGCTCTTGTTCCTCTTTATTTCTTCTAATGCCCATGGGGAAGTGGAAAAGAATCTTTCCTCCGTAAGCCATGCGTGTCGTATGAGGCGACTAAAATGCCGGGAGCAATGGGCTAGTAACCCCTTCTCCTGTAGACATTTACTAAAAAAGAGAAGAAGAAAAACTTATAAAAAACTGGGATGCTTAAATGTGCGTGGATGTATGCGGATGACAAGAAACAGATGATTGCTGATGTTATGAATGAAAAGAATTTTGATGTCCTGGCCCTAAGCGAAACAAAGCTGAAGGGGGTAGGGGAGTTTCGGTGGGGGGAAATAAATGGGATTAAATCTGGAGTTATCTGAGAGAGTTAGAGCAAAGGAAGGGTAGCAGTAAGTTGAATGATCAGTTAAAGGAAGGAGAAAAGAGAATATGAATGTGTAAATTCCCAAAAATTATGTGGATTAAAGTAAAGGTTGGATGTGAGAAGTGGTCATAATAAGCGTGTATGCACCTGGAGAAGAGAGGAATGCAGAGGAGAGAGAGAGAGATTTTGGGAGATGTTAAGTGAATGTATAGGAGCCTTTGAACCAAGTGAGAGAGTAATTGTGGTAGGGGATCTGAATGCTAAAGTAGGAGAAACTTTTAGAGAGGGTGTGGTAGGTAAGTTTGGGTGCCAGGTGTAAATGATAATGGGAGCCCTTTGCTTGAACTTTGTATAGAAAGGGTTTAGTTATAGGTAATACATATTTTAAGAAAAAGAGGATAAATAAGTATACAAGATATGATGTAGGGCAAAATGATAGTAGTTTGTTGGATTATGTATTGGTAGATAAAAGACTGTTGAGTAGACTTCAGGATGTACATGTTTATAGAGGGACCACAGATATATCAGATCACTTTCTAGTTGTAGCTACACTGAGAGTAAAAGGTAGATGGGGTACAAGGAGAATAGAAGCATCAGGGAAGAGAGAGGTGAAGGTTTATAACTAAAAGAGAGGCAGTTAGGTAAGATATAAACAGCTATTGGAGGATAGATGGGCTAATGAGAGCATAGGCAATGGGGTTAAAGAGGTATTGGGGTAGGTTTAAAAATGTAGTGTTAGAGTGTTCAGCAGAAGTTTGTGGTTACAGGAAAGTGGGTGCGGGAGGGAAGAGGAGCGATTGGTGGAATGATGATGTGAAGAGAGTAGTAAGGAAAAAAAGTTAGCATATGAGAAGTTTTTACAAAGTAGAAGTGATGAAAGGAGGGAAGAGTATATGGAGAAAAAGAGAGAGGTTAAGAGAGTGGTGAAGCAATGTAAAAAGAGAGCAAATGAGAGAGTGGGTGAGATGTTATCAACAAATTTTGTTGAAAATAAGAAAAAGTTTTGGAGTGAGATTAACAAGTTAAGAAAGCCTAGAGAACAAATGGAATTTGTCAGTTAAAAATAGGAGAGGAGAGTTATTAAATGGAGAGTTAAGAGGTATTGGAAGATGGAGGAATATTTTGAGGAATTGTTAAATGTTGTTTGAAGATAGGGAAGCTGTGATTTCGTGTATAGGGCAAGGAGGAACAACATCTTGTAGGAGTGAGGAAGAGCCAGTTGTGAGTGTGGGGGAAGTTCGTGAGGCAGTAGGTAAAATGAAAGGGAGTAAGGCAGCCAGGATTGATGGGATAAAGATAGAAATGTTTTAAAAGCAGGTGGGGATATAGTTTTTGGAGTGGTTGGTGCAATTATTTAATAAATGTATGGAAGAGGGTAAGGTACCTAGGGATTGGCAGAGAGCATGCATAGTTCCTTTGTATAAAGGCAAATGGGGATAAAAGAGAGAGAAAAAATTATAGGGGGATAAGTCTGTTGAGTATACCTGGCAAAGTGTATGGTAGTTATTATTGAAAGAATTAAGAGTAAGATGGAGAATAGGATAGCAGATGAACAAGAGGCTTTAGGAAAGGTAGGGGTGTGTGGACCAGGTGTTTACAGTGAAACATATAAGTGAACAGTATTTAGATAAGGCTAAAGAGGTCTTTGTGGCATTTATGGATTTGGAAAAGGCATATGACAGGGTGGATAGGGGGCAATGTGGCAGATGTTGCAGGTGTATGGTGTAGGAGGTAGGTTACTGAAAGCAGTGAAGAGTTTTTACGAGGATAGTGAGGCTCAAGTTAGAGTATGTAGGAAAGAGGGAAATTATTTCCCAGTAAAAGTTAGGCCTTAGACAAGGATGTGTGATGTCACCGTGGTTGTTTAATATATTTAATAGATGGGGTTGTAAGAGAAGTAAATGCGAGGGTCTTGGCAAGAGGCGTGGAGTTAAAAGATAAAGAATCACACATAAAGTGGGAGTTGTCACAGTTGCTCTTTGCTGATGACACTGTGCTCTTGGGAGATTCTGAAGAGAAGTTGCAGAGATTGGTGGATGAATTGGTAGGGTGTGCAAAAGAAGAAAATTGAAAGTGAATACAGGAAAGAGTAAGGTTATGAGGATAACAAAAAGATTAGGTGATGAAAGATTGGATATCAGATTGGAGGGAGGGGAGTATGGAGGAGGTGAATGTATTCAGATATTTGGGAGTGGACGTGTCAGCGGATGGGTCTATGAAAGATGAGGTGAATCATAGAATTGATGAGGGAAAAGGGTGAGTGGTGCACTTAGGAGTCTGTGGAGACAAAGAACTTTGTCCTTGGAGGCAAAGAGGGGAATGTATGAGAGTATAGTTTTACCAATGCTCTTATATGGGTGTGAAGCATGGGTGATGAATGTTGCAGCGAGGAGAAGGCTGGAGGCAGTGGAGATGTCATGTCTGAGAGCAATGTGTGGTGTGAATATAATGCAGAGAATTCGTAGTTTGGAAGTTAGGAGGAGGTGCGGGATTACACAAAACTGTTGTCCAGAGGGCTGAGGAAGGGTTGTTGAGGTGGTTCGGACATGTGGAGAGAATGGAGCGAAACAGAATAACTTCAAGAGTGTATCAGTCTGTAGTGGAAGGAAGGCGGGGTAGGGGTCGGCCTAGGAAAGGTTGGAGAGAGGGGGTAAAGGAGGTTTTGTGTGCGAGGGGCTTGGACTTCAGCAGGCATGCGTGAGCGTGTTGATAGGAGTGAATGGAGACAAATGGTTTTTAATACTTGACGTGCTGTTGGAGTGTGAGCAAAGTAACATTTATGAAGGGGTTCAGGGAAACCGGCAGGCCGGACTTGAGTCCTGGAGATGGGAAGTACAGTGCCTGCACTCTGAAGGGGATGTGTTAATGTTGCAGTTTAAAAACTGTAGTGTAAAGCACCCTTCTGGCAAGACAGTGATGGAGTGAATGATGGTGAAAGTTTTTCTTTTTTGGGGCACCCTGCCTTGGTGGGAATCGACCAGTGTGATAAAAAAAAAAAAAAAAAATTTGCACCACACAATGTCCTTAAACATGACATCTCCACTGCCTCCAGCCTCCCTCTTGCTCCAGCATTAACACACCCATAAAAAAGTGTTGGTACTGCTATACTCTCATACATTCCCTACTTCACCTCCATAGATAATGTTTTTTTGTCTCCACCACCCATAACTGTTATTCTGTTTTAATAAAGATTGTAAAACTAGAAGATTATTTACCAGTCAGAAGGAGATTCCAGCAGACATCGTGCTGAACATGATACCTACAGCATAAGCAAGATCTCTTTATTATCTGATGCAAAGTTAGCAAATGTAAGACTAAATCTTCAGGAATCCCAACAAATCTGTGTGGATAATTTACACCCAATATACAACACCATGGGGAAGCAGAAAAGAATTCTTCCTCCTTAAGCCATGTGTGTCATAAAAGGCAACTAAAATGCCAGGAGCAAGGGGCTAGTAACCCCTTCTCCTGTATAAATTACTAAATTTAAAAGGAAAAACTTTCGTTCTTCTTTTTGGGTCATCCCGTCTCTGTGGGATGCAACCGGTTCGTTGGAGAAAAAAAAAATACAACACCAGTATTGGAAAGTGTGGCCCCTCCATAAAGCCAACACCTTTCCCAGGTCATAAAAAAGGTCAGGTTCACAGGTTTACCACCAGGTTAATCCCTGAAGTAAAAGAACTAAATTAAGAAACAGAAGAGTTAACCTCAATATAAGTATACTCAAATATAAATGTACAATACTATAAATCCATAGAGTTAGAGAGTTATCACGCCAGTCCAAAAATTGTTACAAACAGCTGCTGATCATTCCCCACAAACACAATTAGGAGAGTACACAAACACATCTATTGTATATGTATATATATTTATAAAATTGTTGAAATTTTACAGTTTATCTCTCAGCTATGAGGGCAGTGCTTAACTGGCAGTGAAAGAAATGCTCATTAAACATAAAATTAACCTAGAGTTATCACAAGAGATACAAGACGTCCTTTATGTTGAAGCTAATAATAGCTATTCATACGTAGTTAAGGGCGTTGTGGCACAGTTAAAGGCAGGTTGTTATGTTTAGAAACATGAATGCACCTGTTTGGGTTACTCATTTGTACTCCATGTTAAGGTAAAACAACAGCATCTAACTTTCCTCATGCCACCAGTCTTCACGCTTGTCTTTTTCTTAAAAATTAACTAACAACTAAGTATTCAGTCATAACATATCTGTTAACGATTTCATTTGCCAAACTGCACCTGAAATGGCTTAACTACCGTGTCCAAAGCATAGCTCATCTTAATTTTAATTAATAGTAATTTACACAAAGAAAACCATGCATTTAGTAGCCATGAAGACCAATAATGCTACTTCAAACCTTCATATATTCAACATGTTTTAATTCAAAATCTAAGATATGTGAATCAAGTATTCACTGGTTTACATTTTAACACATACTCATATTTTATTAAAAATTTACAAATACAAGTCCTTACCTAATAGAATACTGAAATACATTTATGTATGTTTAAGTAAAAAACCTGAAGTAAGCCCTGCACTCCACAGGTTTAAGGATAGATATTAATCAATGAAAACATGAATATTGAGCCATTTTTAAGTACATGCTTTACTGATCTTGCCTGAGCATAAATCATCTGCATATTAACATATGAAATGTAATGCTAAATATGGAGATTGCTATATAAGAATCTCACCCATCAATACATTCCACAAAAGATAAGCTTAAGAAACATTAATCTCTTAGCATATGCCAAATTTCAAATATATTAAATAGGATACATTTTCAACTTACTTTCTCAAATATAATACACCAATTTCCTTCATCATAGTATGACTTAATTATATTAACATTTAATTGGGAGCATAAAGCTTCCAATTCCCCTTGCTTGAAAACATGATAGAACCTATGGAAAACCGGATCAGACCCACTTGTCTGGGGCTCTCTTTTATATGAGTTATTTTGGTAATTTTCTTTTATATCATTTTCTAACACTGTTGTCTGGGGTGCATCCAAAGAAGGTCCATTCACTGGAGTTTTGCTTCCCCTGCACCGGTAAGAAATTCTACATTCCTTCTCATAATGTCCTTTTTTATCACAATTTCCTTCTTTCTTCTTTTGAGTCTTAAGTTTCCATGGTACAAGCATATCTTGTTGCACAAATTCTGTACGGTTGACATGTACTGGAAGTGAAGAAGCACCTGATGTGCTTGCTTTTATGCTCCTTTGATTACTCTCTGTATTTTGCTCCTCTTCAAAATTTAGGTTTTTTGAAATTGCTATCAATGATTCGTCCTGTTGTGTGTCATGACTGTTAGTTTTGTTGTGCTTGAGATATGTTGACCTTTTCTTTCCTTTCTGCTGCTCCATGGCCCAAACATAAATGAGACCACGTCCACCTATGCTGAGTACCCTCAACATTTCTGATACTGCAGCAAGACGACGTTCCTGCATAACACAGAGAAGCTTAAATTTTTTATTTGAAATCAGTAGGTTTATACAACACACTAGTATTCTTATTAATCAAGTTCAGTACCAAATCATTTTAAATGAGTTTAAAATCCTCTACAGAGATATACCAGTGAATAAAATATTTCAGATTTTGTCTATATTTTAATCACATTTTCATTATAACACTACATTTTTTATGAACTGTAGTTTCCCTTACTCTAGATTCTCTTACAATAGTTTTGACATCACATAATTCATTTTATATTCACTTTACACTTCCTCAAAAAAAGGTGGCTACTAATCTCTTCTACATATATGGGCTGAAATATGTTTTATTTGGTAGGCACACTTTATTTACTGCACAGTGTACTTACAAGTCTTTTTAGCACAGCTAGCAAAATGCATAGCAAGATAGTGATTTATTTCTAAAATAATAACAGAAGTCCTTATTTGTAGTCAAAAGTTAGAGAGTTCTGATTACATTGGCTTACATATTATGTCATGTAATTAAGGGCTTGCAAAAAGTATTCATGCCAGTAAAGAAAAAAAAAAAGATAAATTTTGAGCTGTTTTGGCTTTTCAGGACACCCAAAAAAAAAAAAAATTGTGGTTCTGAAACTTTGGAGACTTCTATTAAAGAACAAAAATGTCTCGCCAACTTCCTATATGAAAACCACGTTAGCCATAATTACTTTAACAGATTTTGGAAAATATCTATAGATAACAGTGAGTGCACATTTCACAGTCTGTCATTACATGTAACTGTTTAGGACTTTTTCATTAAATAATGAAAAAGAATTATTTAATACTCCATGGGGAAGTGGAGAAGAATCCTTTCCCATAAACCATACACGTAGTAAGAGGCAACTAAAATACTGAGAGTAAGGGGGTAGTAACCCCTTCTCCTGTATAAATTACTGAACATAAAAAGAAGAAAAATTTTATGTTTCTTCTTTTTAGGGTCACCCTCCCTTAGCGAGAGATGATCGTCGTGTTAAAAAGATATTTAATAAAAAACAATGTTTTGTACATATAAACAGAGAGTACTGTAGCATACAAGCTCATGCTGTACATGAAATGCACAGCATGTACTTTTCCATGAAATGAACAGCATTTCATGTAAAAATACAATGTTACTGAAAAGGACATCACAAAATTTTCTTCACAAATTGAGGGGTAAAATACTGGAAATAATATGTGCTATGTTTAACCACTAGAAATCTAAAACAAAAAAAAAACTATAATAAATTAAACACCAAACATGGGACCCCAAGAACACAGCTCTACAAATGCACTAAATTGTAGCAGTTGTTTTTTATTCATGGAAGTTAGACATCTCCAAAATGACACTGGGATATTTGTTTATAATATATAGCAGTTAATTGTACTCAATGTCTCTTTAAAATGTTTCCTCTTCATTCATCCCTTTTTTTTAGGATACACGAGTGACAGATTTATGCACACATTCTTACGTTCATATAAAAGAACACAGAACATACCTCAGTTGCAAGATGATGTATCACAGCAATACACACAGCAGCATCAAACAAACAATCTCTAAAGGGTAACTGTAGGCAATTGCATGTTAGAACTTCAAAGCCTCGAGTATTGCAGATTTTCATCAGTTCCAAGCTAGTGTCACAACCAATCTAAAAGTTACAGTAAAATAAAAGCAGTTTTTAAAATTCACATTGAGAAATCCATTAAAATTTTCAAGACTATGATATTAACCCTTTCCGGGTCCGTCCCGTAGATCTACGGCTTCACGTTCAGTGTCCAAACCGTAGATCTACGCCAAAATTCTAGCGCCGTCAAATTTAACGCAAAAACGCTCATAGGCCTACATGTGAGAGAACGGGTCTGCGTGGTGGGTGTGCGCCATAAACAAAAAATCTAGGCGCCCGCATAGCATTGTGAGAACGCTGGATCAGTTACCCTTGTTCACCATGCCTCGTCGCAAGGCAGCTCTCACTCCAAGGAAAATTGGGACTCTCCTCTTCCTATCTGATAGTTCTGACACTGAGGGAAGTGGAAATGAAGGCAAATTCTTTGGCTTTGATCAGTTAGTGACCGAAAGGAATGACCAGGACATCGATAATAGTGTCAGAAAACCCTGACGATCCTCAACCTTCTACCTCTGGTGTGGGCACTCCTCAGTCACGGTCAGTTGTACCTCAATGCAAGAGAAAACTATTATTTTCGTGTGGCCAGGTCTCTGACTTCAGTAATGATGATGATAGTGATTTTATTGCTCTTGACGATCATTCGAGTAGTGATAGTGAGGAAACATATTCACCAGTGAAGCGTCGGTATGTACACCGCTGCATGCGCTCGGGTAGTGTACCCTACGCTGTGCCCAGGGGATGGAGTACATCCTGTGGCCCTACACCAGGAATAGACAGTGAAAGTGAGGATGATGTGGCTACACTTGGCATGGATAGACCACAGGCATCAGTAGATGGTGGTAGTGGTGATGGTAGTGCCACGGCCATGCGTGACTCACCAGCCCAGGCTGGGACCCACGCTGCTGACTCTGCAGTTCAAGGACAAAGCGGAGCGTCAGCCACCAGCCCACCACAACCACAACTACCCACACAACCAGCCTATGATGTCCAGTATCCACCAGCAAACCGTATCTGGGATTGGCAGCAAAATCCCAATTTTGTTCCCAAGCCCCATTTTGATGACTCTCAAAGTGGAATTCTACCTACTTGTCCTCTTGGAACCACGGCCAATGAACTGGAATTTTTTGAAATATTCTTTGACTAGCCCTTGACGGAAATTATTGTCAGGGAAAGTAACAAATATTTTGAGTACACCATGGCAAATACGATCATATCACCACAGTCAAGACTACACCGGTGGAAAGAGACAACTGTTGCAGAAATGTATTTGCTTTTTGCAACAATAATGCTTATGCCTCATGTCTATAAGCATAATATAAAAGCATACTGGTCCACAGATCGGCTAATTTCTACCTCGGTCTTCAGTGAAATCATCCCAGTGAACAGGTTTATCTTACTGTTACGTATGTTGCACTTCTCTGACAAAACCAGGCCTGACAGAAGTGACAGGTTATACAAGATTAGAAATGTTTTTATGTATCTCAAACAAAAGTTCAGCATGTACTTTTACCCATTCAAGAATCTTGTAATTGATGAGTCTTTGATTTTGTTCAAAGGTAGGCTGTCATTCAAGTAGTATATACCGAGCAAGAGGAAACGCTTTGGTATAAAACTGTTTGTACTCTGTGACTGTGACAGTGGCCTGGTATTGGATATTGCTGTATACACGGGAAATAAAACATTGAAAGATACCAAGATGTTATTGGGTATCTCAGGTGACGTAGTGAGAAGCATGATGGGACCTTATCTTGGTAAGGGGCATATATTATATACCAATAACTGGTACACAAGCCCTTTACTCAGTGATTTCTTGCGAGTGAACAAGACAGATGTGTATGGCACAGTGCGTTCTAATCGTAAACATATGCCCAGGCTCAATGCAGGTGCTCGTGGTGATGACGTACAGGTGTTTACTGCCAATGACATCGTGGCATTACGGTGGCATGACAAACGAAGATGTCACATTGTTGACATCCATTCACCGTAACGAAATGCAAGACAGTGGCAAAGTTGATCGAGTGACTAATGAATGTATTCGAAAACCAGTGACAATGATTGATTATACACAAAACATGCGCTTGGTTGACAAATGTGACATGCAGATTGGCTTTGTTGATTGTGTTCATAAAAGTTACAAGTGGTACATGAAACTTTTCTTCCATCTCATGGACATTTCAATGCTCAATGCATATAATATGTACCAAATGAAGACTGGCAACAGACCACCGTATGGTGAATTTTGTTTATCTGTTGTCAGACAACTCATAATGAAGTGCCAGGTAACAACACCTGCTATACAACAAGGTCCTCGAACTCCTCAGGATATACCCAAGCATTTGAGGAGGGAAGGTGAACATTTCATAATACAGTTTCCTTCAACTCAGAAGAAATTTGCTCAGAAGAGATGCGTTGTCTGTGCACAAACAAAATGACGGCAACAAAGACGCAAAGACACTCGGTTTATGTGTGAGGAATGTAAGTTACCTCTGTGCATGGTGCCTTGTTTCAAGGAGTTCCACAAGCTCCAGCAGTTCCAAAACCATGTCCAGTGATTGTAAATACAGTATGTAAATATATGATAGAACATTAGTATTATACAAGATTTGTGCATGTTTATTGTAATAAACGAAAGTGGTAAATAATAATATGATAAAAACTTTAGTGCGGTTATTGTGTTCAATACAGTGAGTTTATATATATATATATATATATATATATATATATATATACAGTAAGAGTAAGGTTATGAGGATAACAAAAAGATTAGGTGATGAAAGATTGGATATCAGATTGGAGGGAGAGAGTATGGAGGAGGTGAATGTATTCAGATATTTGGGAGTGGACGTGTCAGCGGATGGGTCTATGAAAGATGAGGTGAATCATAGAATTGATGAGGGGAAAAGGGTGAGTGGTGCACTTAGGAGTCTGTGGAGACAAAGAACTTTGTCCTTGGAGGCAAAGAGGGGAATGTATGAGAGTATAGTTTTACCAACGCTCTTATATGAGTGTGAAGCATGGGTGATGAATGTTGCAGTGAGGAGAAGGCTGGAGGCAGTGGAGATGTCATGTCTGAGAGCAATGTGTGGTGTGAATATAATGCAGAGAATTCGTAGTTTGGAAGTTAAGAGGAGGTGCGGGATTACCAAAACTGTTGTCCAGAGGGCTGAGGAAGGGTTGTTGAGGTGGTTCGGACATGTGGAGAGAATGGAGCGAAACAGAATAACTTCAATGTATCAGTCTGTAGTGGAAGGAAGGCGGGGTAGGGGTCGGCCTAGGAAAGGTTGGAGGGAGGGGGTAAAGGAGGTTTTGTGTGCGAGGGGCTTGGACTTCCAGCAGGCATGCGTGAGCGTGTTTGATAGGAGTGAATGGAGACAAATGGTTTTTAATACTTGACGTGCTGTTGGAGTGTGAGCAAAGTAACATTTATGAAGGGGTTCAGGGAAACCGGCAGGCCGGACTTGAGTCCTGGAGATGGGAAGTACAGTGCCTGCACTCTGAAGGAGGGGTGTTAATGTTGCAGTTTAAAAACTGTAGTGTAAAGCACCCTTCTGGCAAGACAGTGATGGAGTGAATGATGGTGAAAGTTTTTGTTTTTCGGGCCACCCTGCCTTGGTGGGAATCGGCCAGTGTGATAATAAAAAAAAAAAAAAAATATATACAGTGGACCCCCGCTTAACGATCACCTCCAAATGCGACCAATTATGTAAGTATATTTATGTAAGTGCGTTTGTACGTGTATGTTTGGGGGTCTGAAATGGACTAATCTACTTCACAATATTCCTTATGGGAAAAAATTCGGTCAGTACTGGCACCTGAACATACTACTGGAATGAAAAAAGTTCGTTAACCGGGGGTCCACTGTATTATATACAGTATTGGTCTCTCAGGCCCCAAATGTTAGTAGGAAAAGAAAAAAATTAGAAAAGAAAAAAATTAGAAAAGAAAAGAAAAAACTACAAAAAACGTTAAATAAAGTAATGTGCGTATGTGGAAATCGTCGATGTTGCCGCCACCACGTCATTTTGAGTCAACTTCTCGGCACTGTATCTCGGTAAGTACTGATCAGATTTTTTTTTTCTTATTACCTTCACAAAAATATACTCTTTAATTCTGTAAGAAAAAATAATTTTTTTTTTTTTTTTCAAAATTTCTTGGACACTGGAGCACCACTTCAGATTTTGGCCTTGGACCCTGAAGGGGTTAATAATAAAAATAAAATAAAAATGAATATGAAGCCATATACAACAATACAGTAAACCCTCAATGTAAAGACTAATGGGAGACTGCTCAAATGTTCATTAAATCAGAATAATGTTAAAAAATAGCAAAACAAAAAGCATTGAAGTCCTGTACTGGTTACCTAATATACTACTGTACACAATTTAGATATAATGCATAAAAACTGAAAATAAAGGAGTTATAAGTAAAATATAACCAGTGGATTTTCCCCACAATGTTGAAAGTCAATTATATCGAGGACCGATATATCAAAGGTTTACTGTTATAAATACATATGTTTTTACTTTACCTGAAGAAGGGCATTGTTATGGCCCAAGTACTTGCCATTTCCACACCCAACATCCAAAAAAAACGAGCCCGGACGTAGAGAGCAAACAAACTGGAATTTTTAATATGTGTAATTAGATGAAGACCATTTAGCAAATAATTTAATATGGTTAAACACTGGACATTATGCTTACACTGGTGCTTGGTAATTATCATTCACTTGAGAACAGGCTATACATGTTTGACCAATAGATGTTTGATGAAAATGGATGAGCACCCCATGTGACAATACTTCATTTACTGTTAACCATATCATGATGGAATGTTCTTAATATTCTGCCTGCTAAAGACTTTGTTGCTCTTTGAGCAACCTAATGGAAATACCATCAATATCTGCAGAGAGTAAAAATAAGAAAGATCCTATCTTTTGATATTCATCATCCATAAACTTTTACAAAATTTACTTCGTTTCCACTTGGCACTATGCCCGTATGATCCATATCCCTTTATTAGGGATACCCTCCATATGCCATTACAAATGGAGGCCTTTACCCACCAACCAACTTACCGCCTTACCACCCATGCACAGTAATAATATAATATATTTATTTCTACAAGTATATGTACAAGTATATGTGAATCTGTTGGACTGTGAGCAGGGTAATATTTAGTGAAGGGATTCAGGGAAACCGGTTATTTTATATAACCAGACTTGAGTCCTGGAAATAGAAACAACAATGTCTGCACTCTAAATGAGGGGTTTGGGATATTGGCAGTTTGGAGAGATATATTGTGTATTTTTATACGTATATACTTCTAAACTGTTGTATTCTGGGCACCTCTGCAAAAAGTGATTACGTGTGAGTGAGGTAAAAATGTTGAATGATGATGAAAGTATTTTCTTTTTGGGGATTTTCTTTCTCTTAGGATCACCCTGCCTCGGTGGGAGACGGCCGACTTGTTGAAAAAAAAAAAAAAGATGTACAAGGTATACAGACCTAGCTGACATCAATGACATTTTTTTTTTTTCAACAAGTCGGCTGTCTCCCACCGAGGCAGGGTGACCCAAAAAAGAAAGAAAATCCCCAAAAAGAAAATACTTTCATCATCATTCAACACTTTCACCTCACTCACACATAATCACTGTTTTTGCAGAGGTGCTCAGAACACAACAGTTTAGAAGCATATACGTATAAAGATACACAACATGTCCCTCCAAACTGCTAATATCCCAAAACCCCTTCTTTAGAGTGCAGACATTGTACTTCCCATTTCCAGGACTCAAGTCCGGCGATATAAAAATAACCGGTTTCCCTGAATCCCTTCACTAAATATTACCCTGCTCACACTCCAACAGATCGTCAGGTCCCAAATACCATTCGTCTCCATTCACTCCTATCAAAAACGCTTATGCACGCCTGCTGGAAGTCCAAGCCCCTCGCCCACAAAACCTCCCTTACCCCTTCCTTCCAACCTTTTCGAGGACGACCCCTACCCCACCTTTCTCCTACAGATTTAAATGCTCTCCATGTCTTTCTACTTTGATCCCTTCTCTCTAAATGACCAAACCACCTCAACAACCCCTCTTCAGCCCTCTGACTAATATTTTTATTAACTCCACACCTTCTCCTAATTTCCACACTCCTAATTTTCTGCATAATATTTACACCACACATTGTCCTTAGACAGGACCATCTCCAGTACCTCCAACCGCCTCCTCGCTGCTGCATTCACAACCCAAGCTTCACACCCATATAAGAGTGCTGGCACTACTATACTTTCATACATTCCCTTCTTTGCCTCCATAGATAAAGTTTTTTTGACTCCACATATACCTCAACACACCACTCACCTTTTTTCCCTCATCAATTCTATGATTAACCTCATCCTTCATAAATCCATCTGCTGACACGTCAACTCCCAAGTATCTGAAAACATTCACTTCTTCCATACTCCTCCTCCCCAATTTGATATCCAATTTTTCTTTATTTAAATCATTTGATACCCTCATCACCATACTCTTTTCTATGTTCACTTTCAACTTTCTACCTTTACACACACTCCCAAACTCATCCACTAACCTTTGCAATTTTTCTTTAGAATCTCCCATAAGCACAGTATCATCAGCAAAAAGTAACTGTGTCAATTCCCATTTTGTATTTGATTCCCTATAATTTAATCCCACCCCTCTCCCGAACACCCTAGCATTTATTTCTTTTACAACCCCATCTATAAATATATTAAACAACCATGGTGACATTACACATCCCTGTCTAAGACCTACTTTTACCGGGAAGTAGTCTCCCTCTCTTTTACACACCCTAACCTGAGCCTCACTATCCTCATAAAAACTCTTTACAGCATTTAGTAACTTACCACCTATTCCATATACTTGCAACATCTGCCACATTGCTCCCCTATCCACTCTATCATATGCCTTTTCTAAAACCATAAATGCAATAAAAACTTCCCTACCTTTATCTAAATACTGTTCACATATATGTTTCAATGTAAACACTTGATCTACACATCCCCTACCCACTCTGAAACCTCCTTGCTCATCTGCAATCCTACATTCTGTCTTACCTCTAATTCTTTCAATTATAACCCTACCATACACTTTTCCTGGTATACTCAGTAAACTTTCTTTCTTTCAACACACTGGCCGTATCCCACCAAGGCAGGGTGGCCCAAAAAGAAAAACGAAAGCTTCTCTTTTAAATTTAGTAATTTATATGGGAGAAGGGGTTACTAGCCCCTTGCTCCCGGCATTTTAGTCGCCTCTTACAACACGCATGGCTTACGGAGGAAGAATTTTGTTCCACTTCCCCATGGAGATAACAGGAAATAAACAAGAACAAGAACTAGAAAGAAAATAGAAGAAAACCCAGAGGGGTGTGTATATATACGCTTGTACATGTATGTGTAGTGTGACCTAAGTGTAAGTAGAAGTAGCAAGACATACCTGAAATCTTGCATGTTTATGAGACAGAAAAAAAGGACACCAGCAATCCTACCATCACGTAAAACAATTACAGGCTTTCGTTTTACACTCACTTGGCAGGACGGTAGTACCTCCCTGGGCGGTTGCTGTCTACCAACCTACTACCTAGGACTCAGTAAACTTATGCCTCTATAATTTTTACAATCTCTTTTGTCCCCTTTCCCTTTATATAGAGGGACTATGCATGATCTCTGCTAATCCCTAGGTACCTTCCCCTTTTTCATACATTTATTAAACAAAAGTACCAACCACTCCAGCACTATATCCCCCTGCTTTTAACAATTCTGTCATGATCCCATCAGTTACAGCTGCTTTACCCCCTTTCATTCTACGTAATGCCTCACGTACCTCCACCACACTTACATTCTGCTCTTCTTCACTCCTAAAAGATGGTATACCTCCCTGGCCATTGCATGAAATTACCGTCTCCCTTTCTTCATCAACATTTAAAAGTTCCTCAAAATATTCTCGCCATCTACCTAATACCTCCTCTCCCCATCTACTAACTCCCCTACTCTGTTTTTAACTGATAAATCCATACGTTCCCTAGGCTTTCTTTACTTGTTTAACTCACTCCAAAAATTTTTTCTTATTTTCATTAAAATTTCTTGACAGTGCCTCTCCCATTCTATCACTTGCTCTTCTTTTGCACTTTCTCACCACTCTCTTCACCTTTCTTTTAATCTCCATATACTCTGCTCTTCTTATAACACTTCTTCTTTGTAAAAACCTCTCATAAGCTAACTTTTTCTCTTTTATCACACCCTTTACTTCATCATTCCACCAATCACTCCTCTTTCCTCCTGCCCCCACCCTCCTATAACCACAAACTTCTGCCCCACATTCTAATACTGCATTTTTAAAACTATTCCAACCCTCTTCAACCCCCCCCACTACTCATCTTTGCACTAGCCCACCTTTCTGCCAATAGTCGCTTATGCCTCACCCGAACTTCCTCCTCCCTTAGTTTATACACTTTCACTTCCCTCCTACTTGTTGTTGCCACCTTCCTCTTGTCCCATCTACCTCTTACTCTAACTGTAGCTACAACTAAGTAATGATCCGATATATCAGTTGCCCCTCTATAAACATGTACATCCTGGAGCCTATCCATCAACCTTTTATCCACCAATACATAATCTAACAAACTACTTTCATTACGTGCTACATCATACTTTGTATATTTATTTATCCTCTTTTTCATAAAATATGTATTACTTATTACCAAATCTCTTTCTACACATAGCTCAGTTAAAGGCTCCCCATTTACATTTACCCCTGGCACCCCAAATTTACCTACTACTCCCTCCACAACATTTTTACCCACTTTAGCATTGAAATCCCCAAATACCACAAGTACTCTCACACTTGGCTCAAAACTCCCAACGCATTCACTCAACATTTCCCAAAATCTCTCTCTCTCCTCTACACTTCTCTCTTTTCCAGGTGCATATACGCTTACTATAACCCACTTTTCACATCCAACCATTATTTTACTCCACATAATCCTTGAAGTAATACATTTATAGTCCCTCTTTTCCTGCCATATCTTATCCTTCAACATTATTGCTACTCCTTCTTTAGCTCTAACTCTATTTGAAACCACTGATCTAATCCCGTTTATTCCTCTCCACTGAAACTCTCCCACCCCCTTCAGCTTTGTTTCACTTAAAGCCAGGACATCCAGCTTCTTCTCATTCATAACATCCACAATCATCTCTTTCTTATCATTTGCACAACATCCACGCACATTTAGACTTCCCACTTTGACAATTTTCTTCTTCTTAATCTTTTTTGTAATGACATATTACTATACAGAAAACCACCCTTGTTATACAGAGCATTTTGGGCAAATTAGGTAAATTTAATCCCAGAATGCGACCCACACCAGTTGACTAACACTCAAGTACCCATTTTACTACTGGGTGAACAGGGATGGCAGGTGTCTTTTGGAAACCCATCCTAATGTTTTCCAGTTGTACTGGGGAATCAATCCCTGGACCTCAGTGTGTGAGCTGAGTACACTAGTGATCAAGCTACGGGATATTCTTATTTTTTTTTTTTTTCAACAAGTCAGCCGTCTCCCACTGAGGCAGGGTGACCCAAAAAAAGAAAGAAAATCCCCAAAAAGAAATACTTTCATCACCATTCAACACTTTCACCACACTCACACATTATCACTGTTTTTGCAGAGGTGCTCAGAATACAACAGTTTAGAAGCATATACATATAAAGATACACAACATATCCCTCCAAACTGCCTTCATGAAAAGTTACAACTCATGTGTTCATAACTTCAAACCTATTTTCTGAAACACAATTATGTTATAATCAGAGATGAGAATAAAAAGGCACAATACCGACTGGAACAATACGTACACAAATAACCCACACAGAGAAGAATAATGCTTATGACTACATTAATTAATGGTCCAAATCAAACCAAATGTCATCATAGCTTCATTTTCCTATATATGGATTATTGTGCATTAGAAATGAGTTCCTGACCCTAATATTCCATATATAATTTTATATATAATTTCACTGTAAAGCAATTGTGGGAACTAAAGCGTCAAACACAAATAACCCATACACAGGAGAAACTTATGATGTTTTGGTTTGACTCAGACCATTACCTACGTAGTCCAAGTCGCACCAAAATGTTGTTATAGGTTTCCTTACTCTATGTGTGGGTTATTTGTGTATTGTTCCAGTGGTGGTATTGTACCTTTCTATTCTTTAAGTGTCATTCATTGGTTCATAAACTCTACCTCACCTATGATCATAAATATCATAAGTACAGTAACCAGTGACACAAGACTGCAACCATAATATACTGCAAATTTAAACAAAAACAACTTCCAAGATAGGACTTTCCTGGTAACTCACCTCTAACACTTGTGGCCATGGTTTGTGTCTTGTAACACTGAAGTGTTCAGCTATCTGATCATAGACTTGGAGCACATGTTCTCTTTCCAGTTTGGCAGCATTCCTGTCATCGAGCATGGTGGCTGATGCACTGCTGCTTTTCTCCTCTTGTGATGTGACTTTAGAATAAGAAGGTGATATACAATGTTTAATGACAGTCCTAAACAATGTTACCAGACATAAGGAATAAAGGACTGAATAAACATTATTCACTACATTTTTTTCCTCAACAAGTCAGCCGTCTCCCACCAAGGCAGGGTGACCCAAAAAGAAAGAAAATTCCCAAAAACAAAAATACTTTCATCATCATCAACACATTCAGCTCACTCACACATAATCACTGTCTTTGCAGAGGTGGCCAGATACAACAGTTTAGAAGCATATATAAAGATATATAACATACCCCTCCAAACTGACAATATCCCAAACCCCTCCTATAAAGTGCAGGCATTGTACTTCCCATTTCCAGTACTCAAGTCCGGCTATATAACAATAACCGGTTTCCCTGAATCCCTTCACTAAATATTACCCTGCTCACACTCCAACAGCTCATCAAGTCCCAAAATCCATTCATCTCCATTCACTCTTATCTAACACGCTCACACATGCTTGCTGGAAGTCCAAGCCCCTCGCCCACAAAACCTTCTTTACCCCCTCCTCCAAGCTTTTCGAGGACGACCCCAACCCCGCCTTCCCCTACAGATTTATGTGCTCTCCAAGTCATTCTACTTTGATTCATTCTCTCTAAATAATCAAACCACCTCAACAACCCCTCTTCAGCCCTCTGACTAATACTTTTAGTAACTCCACACCTCCTCCTAATTTCCACACTCCAAATTCTCTGCATATTTACACCACACATTGCCCTTAGACAGAGACAGGACATCACTGCCTTCAGCCGCCTCCTCACTGCAGCATTTGCAACTCAAGGTTCACACCTATATAAGAGTGTTAGTACCACCATACTTTTGTACATTCCCATTCTCATTCCAGAGCCTAATCATTTGAAGGAACCCATTATAAACTTCTGAGTTATGGGTAGATGAATGCATCACCGAAGTGTTTTCTCATAAGAGAAAAAAAGTACAGTAAAGAAACTGTAAATTTCCAAAGTTTACATAAATTATAAAAATTAACAGCATACTAAATTGCCAAAGCTTAAATAAATTATAAAAATTAACTATCTTTTATATCTTAAATGCTTTTTGTAGGAAAATGAAGTGGATATACCATAGGTGAAGTTATGTAAGAGTTCACATGATGAAAACTTTATCTTTCATGAATGATATACACTGAATTCTAATCACCTTTTGATTTCTTGTAAGAATCACAAACAGTGGCAATGCGACACCAGCATTCTCCGTGTCGAACTTTTCTGAAGGTAAATGACACTCGCTCTTCACGTGGCAAAAGCTGTAGCCCAGTGGTGCTATTCTTATTCGGAACAACATCTGTCATACGAGGACAGATGCCATGTGACCACTCGTATCTGCAAGAAGAATTTATATGTATGACTGAAAATAACTACTTTCTGCTCTTTATTTAACCTGATAACTAATTCTTTATTACTAAATTGAAAAAGAGAAACTTTTGTTTTTCCTTTCTGGGCCACCCTGCCTCGGTGGGATACAGCTGGTTTGTTGAAAAAAAAAAAAAACTAATTCTTTTGTGACACAAAAACCATAACTAACAAAAACTTAGACTCAATATCATTGCACCATATTACATGGACTCGTCACCCAGAATTACGTTAATACCTGGAATCACATTAATCATGCTAATATTAATTTTCTATCGTACACTTGGCATTATTGCAAAATTATCAAGATAATTCATTTATGATTGTTGCAGCAAAACAAACTAATTTATTCTCAAACTCATTACTGACATAAGAACATAAGAAAGAAGGAACACTGCAACAGGCCTACTGGCCTATGCGAGGCAGGTCTAATTCTCCTACCGGCTTAAGCCAGTGCATAATTTATATATGTTCTACACCAACATCTGACTTGAGATTACCCACAGCATTATATGGGGCCAAATAGGTGTATACTTGGAGGGTATATCTGTAGGGTGTTTTGGGGGTCAATGCTCCTACGGCCCAGTCCATGTCCAGGCCTCGAAAATGAAAAAAAAAAACTAATTATTATGAGTGTTCAAAAAATGAAATAAAATTTGTTTGTGAATTTTTTTTTTAGTTCCTATTACTGTATAATTTTGTTTTTATCCAGAAAGCATAGAAAGGTGCCCTCTTAACTTATAGAGCTACACTAATATATACAATAATTTTAACTTTAAACCAGAAACATAAAGGAATTCCCACGTTATCACACTGAAATGCACTACAGAAGAAAAAACTCCATGAACTACTACTGAATAAATATCCTACCTTAGTGAGAACACTGATGAATTAATCACAGTCGTATTTTTCTGAATACGTAGTATACTGTATTAGCCTTATATGCTATACATTTATGTTTCTTTCTAAGCAATTGTCACTTAACCATGTACAGTATTTAACCACTGTATATTCTGTAATTTTAATTACAAAGCTTCACATACAATGTACAGTAATCAATATGTGCAATTATGTTCCTTAGCTTAACTCTTGAAGAAATACTACGTACAATGGGCTGCTCAAAACTAGTAATTTGTAAACAATTTAACTAGTATGTAATGCTGTACTTTAAGAACATAACATGTTTAAATTCAGAAAGAGATAAGCTAACCTTGCAGGACCAGTCATTACACATAGTGACCTTGGTGGAAGGTACACAACATAATGACATGGTTTATTTTTCATTCCTTCACTGTTGCTAGGTATGTAGCGGAAGTCCATATTGACCCCTCCGCCTATACTCAGAGACAAGATCTCATCAGTAAATGAGCTGTGTGTGTCCACGTGTGGTGGTATTCCTGAACAAAACACAAAATTATTAAATTTCCATACAACCCTAATTACCAGAATACAATAATCCATATCTAACATCTTCAGATATATTACCAAAACATGTAAACAATTTTATATAATATCAGTTTATCATAACTATTCCATTGAAACTTTGAAATACGTGGAAAAGTTTTAAAGTTAAAATTAAACAAGCATTTACTTATGACATTACTTAGTGCTGTGGGATGACATTATATTAGTTGAGACTAGAATATTGCAATAACACAAAGAAGCACTACATTCTAAAGTAGAGTACATTAATAATTATAGAGAAATTATTTAAATTTAGAAAATTATTCAAGTTTATCAAAGCTATTCACTCAGAATATTTAGATTCAGTATGCCCTCACCCTGAACAGAAAATGCATTCCTATAAAACATTAAAACATAATGTATTTATTCAAAGTGTTCCTAGTTTACCACAGTCAATGAGTCAGGATTAAGTTCCAAACCCGTTTCAAACCCAGATACAATATTAAATACAGAAGGACCTCAAGCTAATACTGCATCATTCCAGTGCCAAACTATCAGTCATTTCCACTGTGAGTGAATATTAGTGAAGCATTTATTATAATGTACTTCAAAGTTGATTTTAACGTACAGCCACAGAAACCTACTTCATAAAACTCACAGAAGGGCTGGTGTTTATCACCAGCCCTTTTGTGATGCTACACAGCTTTGAACAGTCTTGATATTTATTCGTGCCAGAACAAAGGAGCTATAAAATTTACTTCATAGTTGTAAATATTAACTTCAAATTATCTAAGCAAGTAGAAAACAAAAAACATTTACAGCATATTAATTATAGACATATGCCATCTACCTTATGACACAATACAGCCTAGAGCACACACACTTACATGCCTCAGGAGTGTGGAATATTAAATGACCCATTACACACCCCATGCTCTTGCTAAATCATTTATCTTTGAACCTCACTTTTTCATATTTAATTTTTACTGATACTAAGGTAAACTACTGTATGGTTACTGTAGTATAAACATTCCAAAATTATTTGATAATCTCACTTGTAGGCATCTCTTTTACATTCAAAATTTTGTAACTTTAGTGCTTAATAATTGCACTGTTAAGCCAAACTACTTAAGAGAAACTATGCAGTGCATAATTTAAAGCCTTCAATTCAGATATTACATACTGTCTGGCTAACTCATGACTAGTAAACAATAAGGAAGATTAAGTGGAAAAAATGGGCTCCTGCAAGGGTACTACAGCTCCTGGACAGCTAGTGTGACTACAGATAAAAAAAAAGTGGCTCAATTTTGACTGATGGACATTTTTTTCAGTTAAAAAGTTGCAACTCATCAATTTTTGTCAAATGGGAATTTTTATTAAAAGGACTTTGAAAGTTTACTGTGGTTGCAGAATCCATTATTTCTGTTTGCTATATAATTTATTTAATTTTCAAAAAAGCTACTTGAATTTATAGACAGGGCTACATAAAAAGCTGACTTTTTAAGGGGAAGTATGCCCTTCAATTTATGGCACAGAATATATGGTACTATACCATATGCACTTATTACACCAAAAGTACGAAAATTTATGGAAAACTTACTGAATTATGCTCTCGTGAAGTTAGTGCTCTCAGTGATATTTACACATCGGCTATTTTGCCCATTTTGAGCCCTACTTTCGACCAATTCCATTGTTCCAGTTGACCAAACTCATAGCCATTTCACTAGAACTCCTTTTGTTCTATCGACTGAGTACAAGAAATTGCCCATTTACAGATTTCAACTACCCAATAAAGTGATCAAAAATTGGTAATTTAGCCAAATTCATACACAATTTGAGTAAGGCCAATTTCAAAGCAGGGTCTAGAATTAACAATAGAAACATTCCTAGCACTAAGATAATATTTTCTCTGTTCATTAATCATGTCTCCAGGCCCCTCTTATATTATGGTTGCTTTCTATTTTAAATTTTTATTCACACAAAAAATAGAAGATTTACTGTTATGCAGACTACTGCATTATGTAAAAATGGTATAAACAATACCAGCGCATTTGTGAAAGCATATTAGACCCATCAGTTGATGTGTATTGAACACGCAATATGATTTATTTACTCTTGAACATTGGCAAAAATCGAACATTTCCACTACTTAGAGCTCAATTTCAAAGTACATACTTTTAGTCTGTAAACTATTCTAAATCATCTCTATTTCTGTAATATATCTTCCATTCAATCAAATGAGACCAAGAAAACAAGAATAAAACCATAAATACTATATGACAATACACCACAAAGTCGGTGTTTTAAACCAAAAACCATGGTCGGAGTTTATTTTTCCCCATTATGCACTGCGTGGTGCAGGATTTTTTTTATACTGTGCACACTGACCACTCAGACCCATTCTCTCATATATAGGCCTACCAGCTTTCTAGAATTTTCTAGAATTTTGGTGTAATATTACAGGACAAACAGTGAGAGGGTTAATGAAGGAGTTCCGCTCCTAAAACCTCGTCAGTAAACGAATCCATCATTAAGTGGTAGTGGGTTTGTGTCAATCATCTTTGATATTGTTTTAATGTCATCTTTGCACCATTTATAACATTTCTGGTATATTTTAAATGTTTATACAGTAGTGTACTGTATATTGTAATAAACAGAATAGAGAAAATCAGCTCTAACATACATTATACAGTATTGGTATGCATACTGGTCAGAGAGCCCGTCGTAAGTCTGAGTCGTTGGTAAATGAGTACGTCGCTAAGTGAGGAGAGGCTGTAATTAAAGTTAAAGAGTAAGTAAGTAAGTAAAGTAAGTAAAGTTTATTTCTTTGTAAAGGTTACAATGTGTAATTACAATTTTGATTTGCTAAGTATAAAGATAGCCATTATCATGCCATGGCATTTTGGGCAAACTAATCCTAATACATAATAACTAATTAAAACTAGATAAGATAATAGTACATAGTAACTATACTTAAAACTAGACAAGAAGTAGTGGTTAACTGTTTTACAATCTTATTTAAACTTAATACAAGTGAAAGGTAGTAAGGTGGAGTAGGGTTCGGTAAAATAATCTTGAAATTGCACACAAAATCTACGTACAAGCAATGGTGCAGGTGGTAATATTTTATGGATTTAGTGTTTAACAGATCTCTACATAAGGTCAAATACATATATTATGCAGTAATTTATGTCTAAGTTAAAATAAAATCACAATAATGTAATTATAAATTGTTTATATAAAAATATATAACATTACATAAACAAGATAAAATACATGGCAAGTATTTACCTTGGCCTGGGAGGTATCTATTGATAGTCAACTGGTCTGGAACAACTGGCATGCAGCCTTCTTCAACAAATCTCTTAACAATGGGCATCAAGACTGGTGGAATTCTCTGTGCCAAAGGATGTTCCTTGTCAACTGAATTGCTGCTGTAATTGAACTCATAGCCAAAGTGACGAACTTGACGGTGTTTTAGAATGCTTCCTAGAAATAAACATACATAAGTATTTACATCGTCATCATTAAGCAGTAAGGCACACTCAGCATCGTGGGAAAGCCAATACCACCTTCCTCTAGCAAAATATTCATGGTACTATCTCCAATAATTTTATAAAATGCATGTAAATTAGGTAATACCCAAGAAGGTACTACTACCATCCTGCCAAATGAGTGTGAAATGGAAACCTGTAATTGCTTTACATGATGGTAGGATTGCTGGTGTCTTTTTTTCAATCTCATTAACACTTGGGATAACAGGTATATCTTGCTACTTCTATTTACACTTAAGTCACACTATACATGCATATACAGGCATATATATTTACACACCCATTGGGTTTTCTTCTATTTTCTTAATAGTTCTTTTTCTTTATTTCCTCTTATCTCCATTGAGAAGTGGAAGAGAATTCTTCCTCCGTAAGCCATGTGTGTCATAAGAGGCGATGAAAATGCTGGGAGCAAGGGGCTAGTAGCCCCTTCTCCTATATAAATTACTAAATTTAGAAAAGAAAAACTTTTGTTATTCTTTTAAGGTCACCCTGCCTCAGTGGGATACGGCCGGTTCATTGAAAGAATGCGTAAATTACTCTACTAGAACTGTAACAGACAAAATATCAATTATTCATTCCCTCCTAACACCTTTCCTTCACTAATCCACCAGTGCAGCTGGAACTTTCATTGGCTGTAACAGAGCAATGGCTTCTACTTTGAGAATGGAACCATCATATCCTGAATATTTTTTAATCAGAACTCAAAATCTTAACTTAGTGCTGTAAAATCTATGTACAACACTTTAAAAATTACAAATTATTATTACTATAATAATAATAATAATAATATCATTAGTATTATTATTATTACGTAAACTCCTTTCATTGAAACATGTACACAAATAATACATGTTAAATATTTCCCCCTCCAGCTACACCAAACTTTCCAGTGCTGAAGCCATTTTACTTCCTTGATGCACTCTACTCTCAATATTCACACAAATTCCTTCTCTGTCAATCGAATAACAAGTCTTTAAACCTATGCACAGACTCACCCTTTTCCATTCACCCACAGTATGGTGAATATGAGGTGTTAGGTTGAGGGTGGAGTATTGATTAAACTGATTTGTATATGAGGAAAGTTGTTCCTTAGTAGATCCAAGGAGTGACCCATCTTCCAACCTTTTTCAGTATTTGGGAGAAAACAAACACCTTAAGATGCAACCACTTGGCTTGAGCTCCCGATGTGAGCAACCCTCCTTTTGTTTATTTAGTTACTACTGCTTAATTATAAATAAATAAAAGTTAATAAACAGAACATTAAATTAACCAAGTCTAAACTGACTGAGAAGTTGAAATTATTAAATTATGGTAATATGTTAGATTTAGTGGAAAAATCACTCTAATTGGTGAACTTGTTGTATAGAGATGTGACCCACTGTAGTTTAATAAACTCAGACCAGAGAGCAGCAAGACACCACACGTAGTACAGTGAACAGGATGGATGTTCTGGGAACTGCAGTGTGTCCTGGCGTGGGATACAAGAAATGAGAGTTAGGATACAAGTCCTCATTACGTTGGTCTGCAACGGGCTCTAACATTACTCACAATAGTTGCTGTATCATGGACTGTCAGTCTTTTGTTTCTTCTTTTTCAGGTCAACCTGCCTTGGTAGGAAACAGCCGGTGTGTTAAACAAAAATTCAGTGAAAAAATTATCCATATTAGCAGGGAATATAATTTAAAGTACTTGGAAATCTAGATCTGTACTGTACTAAATACTATACATATATTGTAACATGATTAGGACCAACAATTATAATTCAAGATATTAAATTTATACAGGATGGGCCCACTTTATGGCATTTCACTAATGCAGCAGGTTTCAATTATACCCATTCTTCATTTTTTCAGACTTCCTACAATAAATATATTCAACATTAACCCTTAAACTGTCCAAACGTAGATCTACATCCACGTGCAGGGGGCTAAAAATGTAGATCTACATTTTTTCTACATGCTTTCAAATGGGGAAAATCAAGGTAGGAGCGCTATGCACATGAACGTAGATTTACATTTGGACAGTTGAAGGGTTAACTATAAGCTAGGGATGAAAATATTTTAAGGTAAGTAATGTGGCAGATGTTGCAAGTGTATGGAATAGGTAGTAAGTTGCTAAATGTTGTAAAGGGTTTTTATGAGGATAGTGAGGCTCAGGTTAGGGTGTGTAAGAGAGGGAGATTACTTCCCAGTAAAAGTAGGTCTTAGACAGAGATGTGTAATGTCACCATGGTTGTTTAATATATTTAAAGATGGGGGTTGTTAAAGAAGCAAGTGCTAGGGTGTTGGGGAGAGGGGTGGGATTAAATTATGAGGAATCAAGTACAAAATGGGAGTTGACACAGTTAATTTTTGCTGATGATACTGTGCTTATTAGAGATTCTAAGGAAAAGTTGCAAAGGTTAGTGGACAAGTTTGGGAAGATGTGTAAAGGTAGAAAGTTGAAAGCGAACATGGGTAAGAGTAAGGTGATGAGGGTGTCAAACATTTTAGATAAAGAAAAATTGGATATCACATTGGAGAGAGGGAGTATGGAAGAAGTGAATGTTTTCAGATATTTGGGAGTTGACTTGTCAGTGGATGGGTTTATGAAGGCTGAGGTTAACCATAGAATTGATAAAGAAAAAAAAGGTGAGTGGTGCGTTGAGGTATATGTGTACACAAAAAACGTTATCTATGGAGGCAAAGAAGGGAATGTATGAAAGTATAGTGGTACCAACACTCTTATATGGGTGTGAAGTTTGGGTTGTAAATGCTGCAGCAAGAAAGAGGTTGAAGGCAGTGGAGATGTCCTGTCTAAGGACAATGTGTGGTGTAAATATTATGCAGAGAATTCGGAGTGTGGAAATTAGAAGGAGTGGAGCTAATAAAAGTATTAGTCAGAGGGCTGAAGAGGGGTTGTTGAAGTGGTTTGGTCATTTAAAGAGAATGGATCAAAGTAGAATGACATGGAGAGTGTATAAATCTGTAGGGGAAGGAAAGCGGGATAGAGGTCGTCCTTGAAAAGGTTGGAGGGAGAGGGTAAAGGAGGTTTTGTGGGCGAGGGGCTTGGACTTCCAGCAAGCATGTGTGAGCGTGTTAGATAGGAGTGAGTGGAGACAAATGGATTTTGGGACCTGACGAGCTGTTGGAGTGTGAGCAGGGTAATATTTAGTGAAGGGATTCAGGGAAACCAGTTATTTTTATATAGCCAGACTTGAGTACTGGAAATGGGAAGTACAGTGCCTCCACTTTAAAGGAGGGGTTTGGGATATTGGTAGTTTGGAGGGATATGTTATATATCTTCATATGTATATACTTCTAAACTGTTGTATCTGGGCACTTCTGCAAAGACAGTGATTATGTATGAGTGAGGTGAAAGTGTTGATGATGATGAAAGTATTTTCTTTTTGGGGATTTTCTTTCTTTTTGGATCACACTGCCTCGGTGGGAGACGGCCGACTTGTTGAAAAAATACTATTAGTAGTGTTAAGTCACATCCTGGGAATGGACAATTGCATTCCTGTCCCCAATACAGGTATCAAAATAAACAAAATCAACCAACAAAGTTGCCAAACCAAGGAAGCTTAACCCTTTCAGGGTCCAGAGGCCAAATTTCAAAGTGCACACCAGGGTCCAAGAATTTTCAAAAAAAAATTTTGTTATTTTTTCTTATGAAATGGTAGAGAATCTATTTCTGAAGGTAATAAAACAAAAAGTACGAAATTTGATGGAAAATTGACGAAATTATGCTCTCGCGAATCTTGATGTGTCAACGATATTTATAAACTGGCGATTTTGCCAACTTTGATTCCCATTTTAGGCCAATTACATTATTCCAGTCGACCAAATTCTTAGCTATTTCACTAGTATTACTTCTATTCTATCGATTGAGCACAATAAATCGCCCAGTCAACTGTTTCAACTACAAAATAAAGTGATTGGAAATTGGTAATTTGGCCAATTTAACACAAAGTTCAAAATATTCCAATTTCAAAATAGGGTCCAGAATACACAATGCAGACATTCCTGGCACTAAACTAACATTTCCTCTGTTCATTAGTTATGTTTTGAGGCTTTACAAATGAATTCCATTTTTATTTTTTATTCACATAATGAATTTTTATTCAAACCAAAAAATAGAAGATTTACTGTTATGCAATATTGTAATAATTGTATAAATATCATCACCACATTTGTGAATGTATATTAGACCCACAAGCTGGCGTGTATTAGACGTGTGAGGTCGTTTGTTTACTTTTGAACATCGACAAAAATTTAACATTTCCGCTGCTTTGAGCTCAGTTTCAAGCCATTTCCAGTGCTAACACCAATCAAAATCATCTCTATTTTTGTAATATATCTTCCATTCTATCAAATGAGACCAAGAAATCACAAATACAACTATGAAAAACATATGAAAAAAACTGCAAAGTCGCTGTTTTAATCGAAAATCACGGTTTCAGTTTTTTTTTCTTATTATACACTGTGCGCTGCAGGATATCTAGGCCCAAATTTACCACTCACAGCTTATCAGAGTGAGCTGAGCTCATGGCGTAGATCTACGGTTTGGACCCTGAATGTAAAGCCATAGATATACGGCACGGACCCTGAAAGGGTTAAGATTTCACAAAGCAGAACTTTCTATTCTCCTATTTTACTCTAGGTAGCAATACCAATATTTTAAGGAATACTAACATCTGTCACAGATGATTTATATTAGATGACACTTGAGCTTTCACTCAAAGTGATTAAATGGCTAAGTATAAAATGAAAGAGCTCATACCTTCTGGTATACTGAAAGGACTATCACCCCAGTCAATTAATTGCATCAGTTGTATCTCCTCCTCTGCTGATATAAAATCTTCTAACACCATCAAGCCAGGTGGAAACTTGAACTGTATTGGTGATGGATCTGATGGCACTATTAGAAAGAGGACATAATATGTACATAATGGAACATTTATCTGTCTATATCTTTACTTTTTTGATTACAATACTGTAATTTTTTTTTTATTATAATAATAATATCTTTGGAGCAAGGGGCTAGTAACCCCTTCTCCCGAATAAATTACTAAATTTAAAAGAGAAACTTTCATTTTTCTTTTTGGGCCACCCTGCCTTATTGGGATACGGCCAGTGTGTTGAAAGAAAGAAAGAAGAATAATATCTTTCCTACGTGACATTTTCTCTACATTGTATTTTAATACAAGGTGCACGAAACCTTTGTATATTTCAGTTACTAGACTGCAGAATTATAAAGTGGGAAACTAGATGTATTGCAAAGACATCATCAAAAAAAAGTAAAATAATTCTGTACCAGAGTCACAGATGGGTTTACCCAGCCACGGATAATAAACAATGGATGTTTAGATTTAGAAAGGACATAGGTAAGTGCTGGTTTTCTAACAGAGTTGTGGATGCATGGAACAGTCTTCCCAGTGGGGTGATCGAGGCTAGGACCTTGGGTGGCTTTAAGGAGAGATTGGACGGATATATGAGTGGGAGGGCTGGGTTTGATCAGTGTCATTGGGTATGGGAATAAATTCTTGGGTAGCTTTGGGTAGAGGTTGTTTTGATAAGGACCTGCCTTGCATGGGCCAGTAGGCCTTCTGCAGTGTTCCTCCATTCTTATGTTCTTATTTTCTTATGTGACAAAGCTTGGAGATCAACTTATTCATAAATGCAATTACATTAATGTGTTTTATTTAATTTAATCTCACTATTATTCAGGGATGGCACCAAGGGAAAGGGATGGGGGGCTGGGAAGACTGAAGTCCCTCCAAAATTCCGTCAGCCCCTAAAGCCCCCAATAAAAGTAGTAATAATAATAATGCTGCTTCAAAATAAGTCTCCAAGTCCTACCTCCAACAAGAGTGCCAATCCTCATTATTATTATAATCAAAAAGAAGCACTAAACCACAAGGGCTATACAGCACTGTGTGCCAATCCTCAGCCTTCCCTGACATTAATAATGAAAATTAACATAGCCAGTAATTACCTTTATTAACATAGGACATGTATACAGGAGAAGCAGATCCTCGTACATCAAGGCGGCCATGAGCAGCTTGAAAAACTGTCTGAGCTTGCTCAGGGGATGAGAAAGAGGCAAAGCTATACTGCTTGCCTGGAATCAAGGTGAGAGCTTCAAGACCACATCCAACTGCTGTGATTAGTTCAACCAGAGATGATTCATCAGCATTTGTAGTCAGTCCAGCATTTCCTATGAGGATATGCTGTAAGCAAACATATTTTTAAGTGGTTTTAAGCAATACATCTGTATAATACAATTAGTATACATTACAGTGGTTCACATACATAGGTTATTTACCTATACGTTTTCTTTTTTTTTTTTTGACTCCTGCACAACCCCTGAATTGAAAACTAACCACAAAGCATTTCTTTCCAAATGTGCTCAATGGATGGCTCATACCCAAATCCCTATTTTTAGATGTTCTTTATTATGAGTGTTAAAATTAATCAGATTAGAGTGATATTTATAGAATGGCCTTTGAAATACAAAATGAGCCCAAGTCTGAAATAGAATGTACTGCAAGAAAAGAATTTTGTATTATTATCATTATTCACAAAATCAGGTTTCTCATGGCCTCTATGACTTTACCTCTCACAAATTTTGGGGTTTAAGTGTAAATATATAGGCTCCAATTAATTACAATCGAGTAACTACAATTTTGCAAATCCCTAATAAGATGTTTCATGCTTTAAGAAATAAGTCAATGCAGAGTATATATTACTTCATACTTTGAATGACTAAACTTTTTCAGCATGTTAGATACCCAGAGTATACCTGGAGGGTGTTCCAAGGGTTAATTCTCCTGCAGCCCAGTCCACAACCAGGCTTTCAGGATGACCTGCCTTCTAGAAAACTAAAAGACAGGACAGGTAAGGCAAAAGTAAATGATTACTGGAAATGTGTAAGGTATCCCTCTACCTTAGTACTTACGGTATTACTCTCTAACTGCGATACCTAGGGTATCCTTTTATGCTTGGGATGTTTAGGGTATATATTTCTAGAGGAGATACCTAAAGTACTCCTCTATTGGGGTTATCTAAGGTATCCTTCTAGCTGGGATATCTAAGGTACCCCTCTGCTTACTGTATCCAAGGCATCCCCCTCCCAAGATGCCTTTTAATTTAGAAAAAAAATTTAAATCATTCAGTCATAATATATGGCAGAACAAAATGTTTTATTATATTTCTTCTTAAATGATATTTTTCTTACCTTAGTTGGGGTTTGCCTGATACAGATATCAGGCATATCGCTCTGTAGAATGTTTATGCATCTTTTTATCTTTCTTTGAGCTTTACACATTTCTCTCTTGCTATGCTCCATTTTCCAAAGATACCAGGTGTTATACTTTTAAAAAAAAGAAACTACTAATGCTTCTTAAAAGAAACAAAATCCTTCTGTTGTAAAACCACTTTCCCTTTTCCAGTCTCCTTTATTTATAAAACGTATTCTTAATCTTCATATCTGGCTCTCTGAAAAAATTATAGCTCAATATTATGATCATATATTGGCATTAGGTCAAGATTACAAAGACAAAAATCATTATAGACATGTAACACGCTTGATACCAAATTTTACAACCATATCTAGTACATGTATTTTGAAAGAAAAATATATTGTATGTCTCCCACGGCCTATTGATTATTATATTCATGGGGAAGCATCAAACCCATAAGGGTCATATAGTCAGCCTATTGATGAAACTAAATAGAGATAAGACAAACTGTAACAAGCTTACTAAAGTATACGAGCCCTAGCGATATACAGTGGACCCCCGCATAACGATGGCATCACATAGCGATTATTTCGCATACCGCTTACTTTAATTGCAAAAATTTTGCCTCGCATACCGCTTAAAAACCCGCTTACCGATTTTCTTCCGAGACGCGCTCACATGTTCCGCCGGTGGCATTGTTTACCAGCCAGCCTCCGCGGTAACATCCAAGCATACAATCGGAATATTTCGTATTATTACAGTGTTTTCGGTGCTTTTTCTGGAAAATAAGTGACCATGGGCCCCAAGAAAGCTTCTAGTGCCAACCCTACAGCAATAAGGGTGAGAATTACAATAGAGATGAAGAAAAAGATCATTGATAAGTATGAAAGTGGAGTGCATGTCTCCGACCTGGCCAGGTTGTATAATAAACCCCAATCAACCATCGCTACTATTGGTGGTACAGCTGCTGCTGCTGCTGCACTGTCAGCTGCTGCTGCTGCTGTAGCACCATTGTTGGTGTGGCTTATTGAGAATACCAAGAAACAATTAACCCCAGAGGATTTGCCACCCAGGATAACCCAAAAAAGTCAGTGTCATCGAAGACTGTCTAACTTATTTCCATTGGGGTCCTTAATCTTATCTCCCAGGATGCAACCCACACAAGTCGACTAACACCCAGGTGAACAGGGAAAAATGCCTGGAACTAGTGCTCATATTGGTGAATTTAAAGCCAGCAAAGGTTGGTTTGAGAGATTTAAGAATCGTAGTGGCATACACAGTGTGATAAGGCCTGTTCTGGAAGAAAATGCCAAACAGGACCTACAGTACTCAGGAGGAAAAGGCACTCCCAGGACACAGTGTCTCATCAGTCATTGCTGCATCTTCAATAAAGGTAAGTGTCATTTATTCTTCATTTAGTAGACTAGTACATGCACAATATATACTGTGCATGTACTACTCTACTATTGTGCATGTATCCTTCTCTTTGTGTGTGGGAAAATGTATATTTCATGTGGTAAAATTTTTTTTTCATACTTTTGGGTGTCTTGCACGGATTAATTTTATTTCCATTATTTCTTATGGGGAAAATTCATTCACATAACGATTATTTCGCATAACAATTACCCCTCTTGCACGGATTAAAATCGTTAACCGGGGGTCCACTGTACATGTATATATGCACACTGTACTGTACATGTGTAGTTTTCTTGTACAGTATACGATGGTGTGCATTGCCATTTGATTACTTCCTTTGTTTTTTGGGTGATGTTATTATGGACTTTATTTCAGAGGATGTGGGAAGTGATAAAAGGAATTAAAGCAGATATTAGTAAGACACAGTAGTTACTGCCACTAATTTGTCTCTGAGATAGTGGTTGCTACATTAGTTATAAGGGAAGACAACCTGCTGAGTTTATTATAGTGTGTGTCTATGAAAATAAATGGTATAAAATACCGACACACTGGAAACATAAACACATATGCAGTTTAATGTGATCCTTTATTGACAACGTTTCGCCCACACAGTGGGCTTTTTCAAGTCACACACAGATCTACCTGGGGTGGAAGGTACGGGAGTATTTATAGTCAGGTTCAGAATGTTGAGGTCAGGTGAAGAATGCTGTATCTGATGATCTACCGGGTGGGGTAGATCATCAGATGCAGCATTCTTCACCTGACCTCAACATTCTGAACCTGACTATAAATACTCCCGTACCTTCCACCCCAGGTAGATCTGTGTGTGACTTGAAAAAGCCCACTGTGTGGGCGAAACGTTGTCAATAAAGGATCACATTAAACTGCATATGTGTTTATGTTTCCAGTGTGTGTCTATAGTGAGGACTCTAATTCATTATCTTTTAAAAGTTTTATTGATTTCTTATTAAGGCAAAGCAAAGCTTTTTTCTAAGTCCCATCTTGGACCACTATCTGAAAGGATTTATGTATGTGGTGTTGGTTATCATGTTGGCAACACATGCTATAATATGTTTAGCTATATGAAAGGCTTGCTGCTACTGCCAACACTCACTAAAGAGATTCATGATGAATATGTCTAAATTTAATTTTCAAACCTAGCAAGTTTGTACACCTTGTCTTTTCCTAAGGTAGACCAATCAATACAGAATTTCTTAGCAGAATCATAACAACTAGTCACTCATAGATCAAATGGCAGCACCAACATTTCCCAAATGAAGAACTCTGAGTTGATTCCAGCATGACTTGTAATGCTGGGCACCTATCCTTACACCTCTTGCTTGTCAGGTGACTGCTGTGGGTTGCACCTTTGGAAAGAGGATCAAAGGACCCCAATGGAAATAAACCTTTAGATTAATAAACTGAATCGAACTGTCATCGTGTGATAAATGGTTTAAAACGGACAACTTGCATAAGTGTCTCAATCCTGAACTGTCATCAGCTAAGTAATTAGGAAGACACTAAAACCATGTACCATACTACAAACTAGGTGTAAAAATCAGAACTAGTGACCCACATTGTTTCTCCAGGGCACAGAAATAATCATGACCCACTGTATACTACACTACCTGTCCTTGAATACATCCTTCTGAAAAGTGAAACACGTGTGCAACATCTGGGTATCTTCATTGTAGACATTTTGCCATCCAGTGGCTTTATCACTACAGATTCTAGGACATAGTTTGAAGACAGTAGAACAATATACAAAAGATGAAGTAATCAGTCCCTCAGCCTTGGAGTTGGTGTTCTTCACACCAACTCCAAGGCTGAGGGTCTGATCACCTCATCTTTTGTATGTTCTACTGTCTTCAAATTACATCCTAGAATCTGTATTGATAAAGTCACTGGATGGTGAAACGTCTACAATAAAGATACCCAGATGTTGCACGTGTGTCTCAGTTTTCATCTTGTCGGTATTGTATTGTTGTGCTTGGGGATCAACTGCAGCAACACACCTAAAGCCAATAATAACCCAACAAAAAGCTGCAGTAAGAATAATCACTAAATCCCATCCCTGGCAACACACCCCCCCACTCTTCATAGATCTAAACTTGCTCCCAGTTCAGTACATCCACACTTACTACTGTACAATCTATATCTACAGGGCCTTAAACTCTAATATCAACCTTGACCTAAAACGCTTTCTTGATAGTTGTGAGAGAACCCACAGGCATAACACCAGACACAAACATCTCTACGACATTCCCCGTGTCCGACTAAACCTTTACAAAAATTCAATGTATGTCAAAGGCCCTAAAATCTGGAATACCCTACCTGAGAACTCTAGAACTGCAGACACATTCATCACCTTCAAAACTACCATTAGAAAACATCTTATCTCCCTGATACACCCCGTCAACTAACTACACGAATACCACCTGGTGGTTCACACTTACACTCACTCACTCATTTGACCATAAACGGAAATATTAATCTCAGTCTTAAAATAATGAATCCTGTGATACTCCAATACTGAAACTATGTACTGTGCCAAAACAAAAGCATTCACATTGCTAAACTCACAAACTAGTATTTAGTCACTTAGCCATAATACCAACTTACCTCATAATTTGTAATATTTTACAATTAAGAATAAAACTAAGTATGCCCGAAATGCCTAGCCATGCTAAGCTTTCTAGTGGTACACTCTGTAATCACAATTTTACTACATGTAAACCAAACAATAACCAAATTTCTGTAAACTCAGCATTGTAATCCTTATAGAGAATAAACTTTGAATTTGAATTTGAATTCTTGTAGAATGCATCCTTTTGTTGAAAATACTATTTTTGCAAATTAACAAAGGCATACCTCCAAAGGAGGTGCCCTGGTGCCTAGCCTCCCTTTCCTTGGATCAGACCTGATAGCCGGGGGTCTCCCAGGCTCTGTTCCACCATAATGAGTTCAGAGGAGCTCCTCCCCATGACCACAACAATAATAACAGCATAAGCATAGCTAGGTTATGAATTCTTGAATTGGTGTTTCCTTGCTTACAGCCTCTATTAAAGTAGATAACTGGAATTAACCACCATACCCACAATCTACATTTTTCTGGTTAAGGTAGAATACACTTGATTCAGGCTCACTATATATGATTTTATAGATTCAATGTACATATGTAAAGGATCTGCCTAGTATGGGCCAACAGGCCTGCTGCAGTGCTCCTCTTTTCTTATGTTCTTATGTTAAAAAGACTGAAGTACACATGCAACAGCTACAGATATACACTGGTGGTAAATTATTTAAATTTAGACTAAATTCCATCAAAGAATCAAAATTAAGTGACTTGGATACTGAGGGTATTTAGCCAAGAAAGAACTTTAAAATAATGGATTAAAATTAGATAAATTACTTAATTATTACTGTAAAGTAAAAGGACATAAGTGCAACTTTACATATTGTCGGTAATTCTACCAACTTTATTAATTATTATTATTATTATTACAATCAAAACTAAGCACTAAACCCACAAGGGTCACCAGCACTGCATAAATTACTCAAAAAAAGGGTGTAGGAAAGTACTACTGGCTTAGCAATAATGGCACCAATGATTGACTACTTTGTCATTTGCCACCTTACTTGTTCAATGTATTACTGTACTTAATTACACAAGAAGTCCTAGATAAGAGAGATAAGATAATGCTATCTCTAGTTTTTAAGTAGTTTGTAAGTCTTATGATTAGTTACTCGAAATGCATTGAATAAATCAAATTTTCATTTCTTTTTATGCTGTAAAAAGAGAATGTAGTATACATGTATTAAGTATGCAAAAGTATTTCGGGTAATCTAACCAGCAAGTGGCTTCTTTTGTGCCTACTATTTTACTTATGTTTGTACCCATGTGTCTATATTTATGTTCATAGAAAAACAGCATTATCATCATCATGAGTAGTGGCACTAACTTTAAAAAAATGTTACACAAAACATGAACGAGAAGAGTTGGATTTGACTGGGGCCTGTAGAGCATAGTATAATAATAAGATATTATCTCCTTTATAGTATAATAATAATATGGTTTTAAAAGGATCCCAATGTAAATAAGTCACTTTGACTTTTTTTGGGGTTATCCTAGGTTAAGATAAGATAAGATTTCGTTCGGATTTTTAACCCCAGAGGGTTAGCCACCCAGGATAACCCAAGAAAGTCAGTGCGTCATCGAGGACTGTCTAACTTATTTCCATTGGGGTCCTTTATCTTGTCCCCCAGGATGCGACCCACACCAGTCGACTAACACCCAGGTACCTATTTGCTGCTATGTGAACAGGACAATAGGTGTAAGGAAACGTGTCGAAATGTTTCCACCCGCCGGGAATCGAACCCGGGCCCTCCGTGTGTGAAGCGGGAGCTTTAGCCACCAGGCCACACATATGCTACGTATGATTAATCTACGTAACTGTATTTGTATATACCTGAATAAATTTACTTACTTAGGGTTGTTGAAGCCTAGGTTCTGGGTGGCTTTGAGAACAGACTGGACAAATGAGTGGAAGGGGGTTGAATGTAAGGACCTGCCAAGTATAAGCCAGTAGGCGTGCTTCAGTGTTCCTCCGGTCTTTGTTATGTTGGCTCATATCTTCTTTCAACAACGCCTAGGAAAATGGAAGTAGATTCAATTCAAGAAAAAGGGGAAGGTAGATTCAATTCCTTGCATCAAGAGCCACTCACCGGTACCAAAGGACCTTCCTTGCGGAGAAACAAAAAGAACTAATTAACACAACATAGCTAAAAGCTGACTACGAGGCTGGTGTTGTTGTTGGGTGTTAAGGGAGGAGCTGCCTCCAGGAGCTGGTTCCAGGAGCTGCCTCCAGGAGCTGGTTCCAGGAGCTGCCTCCAGGAGCTGCCTCCAGGAGCTGCCGGGATGAATAAGATACATGAAATGTAGATAAATGGTTCAGAGAACCGACAAGTGGTAAATTTGACACATGTGCAACATTTAGGTATCTTTACTGAGGAAACGTTTGGCCACACAGTGGCATAATCAGTCCCATTCAAAAAAGGATGGTGACTTATTTTGCTTCAGACAAACTGAAGCAAAATAAGTCCCCGGGGCCCGACGAGTTGTTTTCCAGGGTACTTAAGGAATGCAAAATGGAACTCAGTCAGTGGTAACCTGTACTTAGCAGTGGTGACCTGTACCTAGCAATGGTGACCTGTACCTAGCAGTGGTTACCTGTACTTAGCTCTGTGAAGACTTGTTTGTGTGTTCTCTGTGAATCTGAACCAAGATGCCCTCTCTTGAGCAACTCTACCAGGAGCTAATTATTATTATAATCAAGGGGGAAGCGCTAAACCCGGAGAATTATACAGCGCCTGGGGGGAGGGTGGAAGGCATTCAGGCTTAATTCGGGGAACTGGAGCACAGATCCAATTCCCTAAATCAAGAGCCCCTCACCAACATCAAGGAACCTTCCTTGAGGGGCCCAGCAGCTAAAAGAGGAGCTTAGGGTTGCTAAGCTGGAGATACGGCAATTAACGGAGAACAAGAGGATTCGTAGTAATCCTCCTGTTGTGAGTCCTCAGGTTAAGAGGGGAACCTGGTCAGTGGCTGGGCAACATGGAACCAAGCTGAGGATCAAGAAGACTCCTGGAGAGGCAGAAACAACAAAGAACCAGAAGACTACTGTGGAAACTTCCAACCCATTTTCGGTGCTACCTGATGCATGTGGGTTGTCTACTTGGAACGTCACAACAAGTACCAAGGCAGCATTGGCAGACATGAGTGAGACATCCCTTGAAACCCCAACGAAGACCATCGAGAACGTCACGATGAATTCCACAAGTGAAGGTAAGAACATTGTTTTAGTTGGAGACAGTCAGGTTAAGTTTATGGATAGGGCCTTTTGTCTTAGGGACAGGAAGAGGAGGCACAGGGTATGTTTTTCTGGGGCTGGGATGGGGGATATTGTTAGCCGTCTGGACATCATGAAAGGTAATTGGAACAATCATATTATCTGCCTCGGTGCGGGAGGCAACGATGTTGGCAGACGTAGGAGTGAGGATCTGATTAGCAGGTATAGGTCAGTAGATTTAAATACCTTACCACCCTTTGTATACAAAAAAGCTTCCCAAGTGCTGTCACCAATTATTGCAACACTCTTTAACAAATCCATCGAATCCTCTACCTTCCTCACAATTCTCAAAATAGTGAGGGTCACCCTGATACATAAAGGAGGAGATCAAGCAGACCTGAATAACTATACACCAATATCCAACTTACCCCTTCTCTCTAAAATCTTTGAAAATTAATTCATAAGCGAATCTATTCCTACCTCATCTCCCACAACATACTTGTGGAAATTATTTAATTTCCGAAGCTATAGTGCCTAATAAGTGTTTAATGTGTTGACTTGGGTCAAAATGTATTTGTATTTTGAATGGAACCAACTGGGTTCCCGCTGCGCCTGCGCAGATGTGCGGGGGTATAGGTCGAACAGGGGCACGAGGGGGCGGGAGTGTTTTGAATGTAGTGAGGAGGCTGGGAAAGCATGGAACCAGGAAATTGGCGTTCACGGCGGCCTAAGGATTAATATAGGCCTCCTTTCATAATAGGAAGTGTCGTAACTGTTCCTGGTGGAGAGTGAGGGAACGTGATTCACGGGACCACCGTAATAAGGTGGTAAAATTAGTGAATAATGGTTCGACCGGGTGTGACTGGTGCGCGGCCATGGTGTGTGTCCAGGGGAAATACCCGTGAGTTAATCCTCACTCATCGGCCTCAGATCTTAATGGAGTGACCTCTAATGTGTATAATAATTATGAGACGTTAAATCGTCTTGTGAATGGTAATGTAATCAGTGATAATAAATTAAGTTAAGAGAATGCGGATGTGAAATAGATCGCCCTGCTCCGAGTGCACGTGTGATTCTCGTCCCCGAGGATAGTGCAGTTTGATGGAATAAACGCTTTTTAAACCAGGACAAACCAATGGATACCTCGTCCTGCTGGAATAAGAACCGTGTCGGGTAACAGGACATCGAAATGAGATGGTGAATGGAGGAAATAAGGAGTATCAATCACCCACAGTTAAGTAACCCTTCTAGTTATAGCAACTTATACTGGCAGTTGGGTATGTTGTAATTGGATAGGTTATGGGTGATCCAGCTACATCAAGTGACCACCAGAGAATATCTAGTAATGGTTTGAGATTATGTACAAGTGTTTTCCCTTGATGGATATATCCATGTGAAACCCCTACCCCCCCCCCCCTTCATTCAGTTACACTAATATCATCTATACAGTCCACAACTATTAGTAGCACCGTACTTGTGGGTGCTATCCAATCCATACTGGTCTCGGATAGATATGGATAAGATTGTGAGGTCAAAGGAACCACCTGCCGTGCCAGAGGTGGTTAAGTTTTCTCACATGTCAAACACGGGTGGACTACGGTAAAAAATATGGTTGTCCCCCAGTGAGATGACTTGTATGTATATAAGGTTGGGTACATAAAGGTAATCACTCCTATAAAATTTTCCTTTATCTGCCCACGGGTCCTTCCTGAACCGGATGCAGTCAGTGAAAAATTAATTGAATTAATTACTAAATAATTAAGTGACGATTGAAGAAAGTGGGTATAGGGTACACAAATTTAATCGGTCTGTGGTGGATAAATAATTAGCCCAATTAATTACTAGCACATGGGTGGCTAGGATTTATAAAAGGGAGTAAAGTGCAAGAATTACTCTCACAAGGTGTCTACTTAAGTTGTATAATTGGTGATTATTAATTCCCTAACCATGGCTGGGTCTGAGGAAGTTAGTGTGGCTGGCAAGTCCATGGATGCCAAAGCAAAGAAAGCATCACTACAAGCTCGGAAGGGTCATGTTACTAAATCATACAACAAGTGTATGGAGTTAATGAGACAAGAAACGGTAAACCCTGATGAACTAAAGCTACACCTAGATGCCTTAGAAAATAGATACGAGTCATATAGATTGTGGTATAAGGACTGTGAGAGCGATCTTCTGGTGAATTGTGCAGATGATGCTTAAAGGGAGCGGCTGCTGGATCAATATTATAAAGGAAGGAAAAAAAACTGGCAGGAAATGGCAGAAATCGTACACCAAATCCAGTCATTCCTGGAGTGGAACCACAATTCTGGCCACAAAATAGAGCGAAACACCAACGTCAAAGACCTGGGAGTGATTATGTCGGAGGATCTCACCTTCAAGGACCATAACATTGTATCAATCGCATCTGCTAGAAAAATGACAGGATGGATAATGAGAACCTTCAAAACTAGGGAGGCCAAGCCCATGATGACACTCTTCAGGTCACTTGTTCTATCAAGGCTGGAATATTGCTGCACTCTAACAGCACCTTTCAAGGCAGGTGAAATTGCCGACCTAGAAAATGTACAGAGAACTTTCACGGCACGCATAAAAGGAGATAAAACACCTCAATTACTGGGAGCGCTTGAGGTTTCTAACCGTATTCCCCGGAACGCAGGAGGGAGAGATACATGATTATATACACCTGGAAAATCCTAGAGGGGCTAGTACCGAACTTGCCCCACGAAAATCACTCACTACGAAAGCAAAAGACTTGGCAGACGATGCACCATCCCCCAATGAAAAGCAGGGGTGTCACTAGCACGTTAAGAGACCATACAATAAGTGTCAGGGGCCCGAGACTGTTCAACTGCCCCCAGCACACATAAAAGGGGGATTACCAACAGACCCTGGCAGTCTTCAAGCTGGGACTGGACAAGCACCTAAAGTCGTTTCCTGATCAGCCGGGCTGTGGCTCACGTTGGTTTGCGTGCAGCAGCAGCAACAGCCTGGTTGATCAGGCGCTGACCACCAGGAGGCCTGGTCACAGACGGGCCGGGGGCGTTGACCCCGAAACTCTCTCCAGGTAAACTCCAGGTAACAGTCGATGGCCTCCACTCCAAACCAACAGATACAGATACTAATGCCGGGGAAAAAAAACCCCCCCCCAGTACCAACAATACCACCAGTCCGATAACCATTCTTCTTTGCAAATATACCGGGTCTAAAGCCAGCAAAAAACAACAAAATACCTTTATCCGTTGGGCTGCTTGCAGAGGGAAAGGCAATGTTCGCGGCTTTCACTGAGACCACATAAAGGATCACTTGGACAACGAAATAGGATCCCAGGTTACAACCTATACAGATGTGACAGAGTGAACAGGCAAAAGGGGAGGGTTGGCCTGTACATTGCAGAGTCACTTGTTTGCACAGAACTGCTAAATGCCTCAAATGATGTAGTGGAGTTTTAGCAGTAAAGATCGAGAACCAAAACCTAGTCATTGTGGTAGTCTACAAAACCTCCGGATGCAACATCCCAGCAATTCCAGGAACAGCTGTTAAAAATTGACACTGTCTGGAAAAAACCCTTTCCAGCTCCCTGCACCCAACATCTTGCTCCTGGGGGGTTTCAACTTAAGGGACCTAAATGGAGGAATATAGCAAATAATATTGTTGCAGTAATAACACCCGGAGGCAGCTCTGATGAAAACTCACACTCACGCGAGCTTTTAAATCTCTGCACAAATTCAATTTAAACCAGCAAATAATAGAGCCCACTAGACGGGGAATACACTAGACCTCATTCTTCACTAACAATGATGATCTGATAAGAAATGTCACCATATCAAAAACAATATTTCTCAGATCACAACATAATTGAGGTTCAGTCATGTATGCACTGAGCCCAGACCCACAAATGAGATTAGTCACGAGGGAGCATTCACCAAATTCAACTTCAATAACAAAAACTAAAGGGGGCCCAAGAAAACCCAACCCCCTAA